TTGGCCAAAGGAGTTGTGAATATCACTACTGGTTGTGGTCTTAATTGAAAAATGAGGCATCAGGACTTGTCTGCTGACTTGCATGCCTCTCTTCCTTTGCCCACACAGCTGCCATCTCCATGACACCAGTGCAGGAGATTTGCTTGCAAATTAATGCCAAGAGCCACTGCAAGCTCCAGGTGCAGACTTAATTCTGCACTGGGATGTACCCCAGGTGGGTATTTCCTAGTTTTAAGAGGTTTGAGTGTCATTTGAACTTGCTACATAATTTGCTGCTGACCTGGAATGACATGAGGAATCCACAAGGCAAACTTTATATTAATTAGGCTCTTTCTCATCAAATTTAGGTGTTAATTTATTCATGGTTGGCACATTGTATGTTTAAAATCCTTCTGCAAGGCCTTCTCTGAGAGCAGTGGTAGCTGAACTTTAATGCTGAAGATTGCCAGTAGTCACCAGCTCTTGCCCAGGAAACAGGAGAAATTAAATAAAACTGAGTGATGCACAGTTAAAAACTTTTTCAACCAAAAGGAATATAGATATATTGAAAAAAACCAACCCAAACTAAACAAAACCCCACCCCTCTCCAATATTTTTATTGGAGAGGGGAAAAAGGAATAAGGAAGGGAAGAAGAGAAGGGAAAGGGAAAGAAGAAAGGAAACATTTGTGATGAACACCTCTTTTTAGCAGAAATGCTTTACTATATTTTCAAATGAAAATCAACTGCAAATCCCAGACTTCAGCCACTGGGTATTCATATGCATCTGTACATATTAAAGGTATGTGTGTGCTTATGTGTGTAAATGTATCTTAATCTGTATATTTAGATATGGGCCAAATTTGGGTAAACACTCTGTAAAGAGCAAAACGATGGTCCAGAAAGCAAAGAGTAAGTGGTTGAACCATCAAGGACAACACATGCAGGCAGATGGAATCCTGGGGGTGGCCAAGCAGACAGTGAGTCAGGATTACTCAAGAGGATAAGCAGTTGCCTTGGTGCACCAGCAGTCTAACCCTGATCCATTTCTTGATAGGCTTTACAGGGAAAGAGAGTTTTGCAGAGGAATCCAAGGGAGGATAGAGATATGGCTGCGCAGATGTTTATGGGAAGCTCTTCCCACACATGAAGGTAGCCTGAGAGAAATGCAAAGCAAGTTAACATATGAACATTGAAAGCTGACACTATCTGATCAGACCTGCTTCTTCAAGCAAATGAGCAAAAATTGATAATAATACCTTAGATTATAAATAAAATAACATGCATGAGTTCCGTGTGCATCAGTGTTTTTGAGCCTGAGGTCCTTATACCCATAACAGTTTTAATTGAAGAGATGTCACCAATCAAACTACCGAATAACTTGTTGGAGGTATGTCAAGGTGGATTTCTTGTGTTTAACGTCCAAGTTTGCAAGGATTTATGTAGTACTTTATGTAAATACTACACTTTCACTTTATGGAAATGTCTTGCTGATTGCTATGGACTTTTCTGAGACACATCTTGTAGATAACAATGCAGGTGTCTTTTATCACATACAAAAGATCTTGCCAAGGAGTCTTCCATTTGTATCTTTCCTTCCCTACCTTGAAGCAATGGTGTGCTGTTTGTAGTGTATTTTTTCCTTGGGACAGAGTGTGAGAATGTGAGTTCATCATTCTTCGATTCTTTACTTCCCAGTGCCTGTAAGGGTACTTAAGCTGGCTATGAGAATTCCAGCACAAAATCCGCCAAAACGTTTTGACAGGTGTTACATTACTTGCTCCTTAACATGTCTCATGTAATAAAGCAAGTCTGTCATGAAAATTTTCTTCCATGATTAGGTGTGCTGGTTTGGAATGGCCACTCATCTGCAAGAGTCAGCATCTGTCCTACACTTAGAAGATTCTCTGTCTGCCTCACCTGTGATCAGTGGCAGGGAATCTTACCATCAACCTGAACTTTGAATCAGGCCCTGAAGGAATACCTCTGGATTTATTGAGGCCAACAAGTTTAGAAATACCTGGTTACTTATTTATTAAATGGGATTTTTCATTACATCTGGCATTAAGCTCTTTTTTTTGGTTTTAATTAAATTACTTTCCCCCCCACCACGCGTGTGCTGCTGTATGAGCCAAAGGTTTTGCCAGAGTTCCTACTCATGGAGGAAGAGACCCTTCCTGATGGCTCCTAGTGATGAGGCAGGAACCAACTGCGCCTGAGCAGCAAAGTCTGATGTTCTACAGGTAACACCAAGAACAAAAAACCCTGCAATTCCTGAACAATTATAATTTATAACACACTGATCCTTGTTATCTGTGCTCTTTAAAAACCACATGGTCCTGCCTACAGAGAAAGAACCAACGACCACTGAAGATCACATGCACGTAGGAAGATTCAAAATTAATTTATATGATCTTATGTTCAATATGTCTGCTTGCAATTGTCATTGCTTTATTCAATAAATTATACTTCCTCTCTAAAATACACACAAAAAAATTCCTAAATAGTCTAGAGACAATTATATATGGGGCGATAATTAATTGATGATAATTAATAGTATCAATCCACTTTTAAGAGCAGTAATTCTGGTCATTGTAAACCCAGTTAGTATTTCATTAAGTTCTCCTAATGATAATAACTCTAATAATGCTTAAGGTAGCTTTGATGCTCTCAGACCACAGTAATCTATGGCTTGTGAGCATTATTACCTTTTCCTAAATGGCTGGAAAAAGGAGTCAGACCCTTGATTCATTCAGTAAAATGAAGTGCATCAAATTTTAGTTGTGAGAGAGATTCTTAGATTCGCTTCTGCTGAATTCAGAGGGAGCAAAACTGATTGTGGTGAACAATGAAGAGGAGATGGGCGAAAATTTCCTGTAAATAACTTGCAGCAATAAAGACAATAAAATAGGATCTTGAAGTACACCTAACTTTTCTGTTCCAAGTCTATTGCTATCACATCCAGCATTGCCAGAGATTTATGATGTCAAATATTTCCCCTTAATCTCCTCTTCAATTACACTGGCAGAGAATAGCATGGTTCATATAACTTAGTCATGGTGAATTTACTTGATTTACTCAGATTTTGAGGTTATATATCTGAACAAAAGAAAATGTTAGATAATCAGTATCCAGTAGGCCCCAGTGGCTCATGCAAAGATTGAACAGGTGTGAAATAGGACAGAGCTTGTTCTAAGGGATTGTAAGGAAAGAGATGTATGGATTTTAAAAGAAGATTACACATTTTCATTCACCATGGCAAAAAGAATGAATGACTATGGAGATTTAATCTTTGACTATTGACCAGATAAAACCAAAAATTGTTAAAAAGCAGCTTACAAGACATACTATCATACACACAGTTAGAAACAGTGCTAATGAAATTGCATCTTTTTTTGCAAAAAAATAATTTATTTTGCTTTTCTGTGTATTAACAACTTCATCAATTATTATGGAGATTTAAAACAAGACTGTGGAAGACTCAGGCAATATTCCCAGATGGCAGTAGTACCAGTAATGGTCCTTTCCTCAATCAAGTGCCCTGGTTATCAACTGAATAGAGCATTTGTTTCATGCAACACTTTCAACATTCTGATTTACAGTGGTAAAAATCTATCGAAACAGTTGATATGAGAATCATAAGCAGTGACCAAAAGGTACAGCCAAGAAACGCAGTAAACGATGTGCACCTTTGTGTCTCTGTAGAACTAAGCTCCCCGTTTTTAAAGCAGAAGTCTGAAGGCAGAGCAGTGCAGTGGGGCAATATCCTGTGTGTTTAAGCCATGGGATCCCAGCTGCAGAAACTTGGCAATTCACGTGAGGGGGATGCTCGTGGGCTACATAGTGGTTGGTGGCACGGCTGCCTGTCACAGAATCCTTAGGGCTGGAAGGACCTCTCTGGAGATCATCTGGTCCAAACCCCTTGCCAAGGCAGGGTCTCCTAGAGCAGGTGAGACAGAACACGGCCAGGTGGGTTTTGAATGTCTCCAGACAGGGAGACTCCACGACGTCCCTGGACAGCCTGTTCCAGTGCTCTGCCACCCTCAAGGTAAAAAAATGAAGTGAGGTTCACGAAGTGAAACTTCTTGTATTTTAGTTTATGGCCATTGCTCCTCATCCTGTCACTGGGAACCGCCAAAAATAGTCTGGAATCACCCTCTCACCACCTGCCTTTGAAATATTTACATGCATTAATGAGATCCCCTCTGTCTTCTCTTTAGACTAAACATGCCCAGCTCCCGGAGCCTCTCCTATGCGAGACGGTCCAGACCCCTAATAATATTTGTGGCCCTCCACTGGACCCTCTCTAGTAGCTCCTTGTCTTTCTTGCACTGAGGAGCCCAGAACTGGACACAGCACTGCAGATGTGGCCTCACCGGCGCCAGGCAGAGCAGGAGAATCCCCTCTCTGGACCTGCTGGCCACACTCCGCTCTCTGCAAGGTCACGGAACCCTTCTCCCCAGGTAACCCCACGACGCCAGCGGCAAGAATTTCTGCGGCCCGGCTACCGCGTCTGGAATTGACCCTACAGTGACCACGGCGAGGAGCACCGTCGGAGCCCTTCCTCCAGGTGAGCCCACAACACCAAACTTCAGGGCAGGGGAAGCTCCGCGGCCTCGCCTCAGTCCGTCGGGGGGCGGCAGGAGGAGCCCGAGCCCGAGCCCCGATTCGGCGGAGGAGCGCGGATGGCAGGTGAGCGGGCCGGGACGTGTGGCCGAGCCCGGGCGCTCTCCAGCCCCAGGGCCAGCCCGGGCGGCTCTGGCCGTGAGTCAGAGCACGGCGACGGGAGGCGCGGCCGCCTAAACTAGGGAGCAGCGAGCGAGCGAGAGCGGCTCCGCCGAGCGGAGGCGGGGGCAGCGTGTCCGGCCCAGACCCCTCCTCCCGCCTTCCTCCGCCCGCTCCCTCCTCCCTCCCTCCCTGCGCGGCTCTCCCGGGGACGCGGAGAGGCGCCGCCGGGCCCGGGGCCTGGACCGCACGGGTGCCCGCCCTCTCCCACCGCCGCTCCCACCGCCCGGCCGCGGGCTGGATGTAGCCGGGCGCCCCGCGGGGGCTGCAGCAGCAAGATGGCGGGTAGGCATCGCCCCCCTCCCCCTTCCCGCACACGCCGCCTCCCCGGCGAGGCGCCAGCCCTCCTTCCTCTATCCCCCCCTCCTTCTCCTCTCCCCCGCCCCGGCTTCGGGAGCGCTGCCCGCCGCTGTCCGGGCTGGGAGCGCGGGGGCTGCGGGGCGGGTCGCGTCGGGGGCGCGCAGCCCGCGGGCGGGGCAGGGTCACGCGTGGCACCGAGGGTCGGCGGGCGCGTTGGCACATGGTGTGTGTGTGTGTGTGTGTCTCCCCCACCGCAGATCTGTCGCTGCTCCAGGAGGACCTGCAGGAGGAGATCGACGCATGTGAGTGGGGATGGGGGGGGGAGCGGCGGGGCGGCTTTCGGGCGAGGAAGTGGCTTCCGCGGGGGAGCGCCCAGGGTGCATTGTGGGAGGCGGCGGGGAGGAGGAGGAGGAGGAGGAGGAGGAGGAAGCAGCCATGGCCATGCTCCGCGCTTCCCGGTGTCCATGACTCGGTGCCGGTCGCGCGTGGGGCTGCGCCGGGCGGTCCCGCGGGGTGCGTTGGGCGGCGGGCGGGGCGGGGGCGCCGTTAGCGGTCGCCTCGGCGGGAGCGAGCGAGGGAGGGAGGGAAGGAAGGAAGGAGGGAGGGATGGAAGCAGGGGAGGCTGTGCCTGCGGGGCGGCGTCCCCTCATGGCCCGGGCACGGCAGGGCGCCGTCGGGGACGAGCAGGAGGAGGTTAAGGCTGCTGCATCTGCAGCACCATGTGGGTTGCTCGTTCCTTTTATATCTCTATATTTTGTATATCTTTTTTGTGTCCCTCATTCTTCCCCCCCACCTCCACCCCTCCCCCTCAGGCTCTATGTGCCTTGTGACGGGTCTGGAGCACATGTCCTGTGAGCAGCGGCTGTGGGAGCTGGGGATGCTTAGCCTGGAGAAAAGAGGCTCAGGGAGGGACCTTATTGCTCTCTACAACTGCCTGGAAGGAGGCTGTGGCCGGGTGGGGGTCGGTCTCTTCTTCCAGGCTACCAGAGACAGGAGAGAGGACATGGCCTCAGGCTGTGCCAGGGGAGGTTCAGGTTGGACAGCAAGAGGGACTTGTCCTCAGAAAGGGTGATTAGATACTGGAATTCGCTGCCCAGGAGGTGGTGGAGTCACTGTCCCGGAGGTGTTTAAGGAAAGTGGATGTGGCACTCAGTGGCATGGTCCTGTTGACAAGGTGATGTTCCATCACAGGTTGGAGGTGATGATCTCAGAAGTCTTTTCACACCTAATTGATTCTGTGAGTCCTGACCCCGCTGGAGAGGTCTATGGAGAAGAGTTAATGTCAAGGTGCAAAGTAGCAGAATTGTGGCTGGGGTGGTGCAAAAATTACTAAGTCAGGGCTGAGAAGCCTTACCATGGCAGACTAAGATGTTACTCAGGTGAGGTGTCTGTTGGTCCTGTTGCTACTCAGGGAACTTCTTGGAAGAAGAGGATGAATTTTGTGTGGAAAGTGAAAAACGGGGGTGGAGGCAGGTGCCTGCGTGGGTTGCAGACCCCTGGTTGCTGCTTGAAGGTGTTCTGTCTGCTGTGCAGTCTGCAGGGCATCCCCTCACCAGGGCGGGAGTGCAGGACAAAAACCTTGTGTTTTCTGGCTTACATTTTTAGAGGAGAGCTATTTAAACTTTTTAGGATTTAACTGATACATCTTCGTTTTCACTTTTGTCAGCTGATATTTAGAAGGCTCCTATTGTGCTTTTCATTGCACAAAGAGGGAGCTTTTCCCTTAGGCTTTTTGTTTTTTTTTTAAATTCAGCGTGATAAGTCTCTGTTTGAAAACTCTGTGATTACAGAGGACTTTTTCAGAAGGGACACACTTAAAAAAACCGCATTCTTAAGTTTCCGCTTAGATTATGGTTTTAGTTGACTGTAGGACAGGAATTGAAATTATCTGTAGTCATTGGAGGAGTGACTGAAGCTGTGGGTTCCTGGTGCTGGTCTTAATGTTATGGCCTTCAAAAATGAAAAAAATTTATGCTTGAAGATGTGACTCAATCCAGATGAGAGCATCCTGAAGGCAGAAACCATAGAAATATAAAGATTTGAAACCTCATTAAAAATTACTGAGGTTTTGATGGAAGTAGATAAAAGCAAATGTCTCAATACTTATGCATGGTATTTTAAGAGAAAAAAACCAGCACTGTGTATGAATCATGTGTTGTCTGGATGTAGTTCAGTCTCACAGTGGCTTTCATAGTTCTGAGTTGTACGTGATTTTGTTCTTGGGTGGTGTCTGTGAGCCAGAGAAAAAGAATACAGATCAAGGAGACTGTACATCTAGTCAAAAGTACTGTCTCTTGTGCAGTGTTATTTGAAATAGCTGTGTTTTGTACCCGTATACAATATGTTCTGCGCAATTATGAAAGTGTTTCCAATTGATTGGTTGCGCCTATGAAACAGAAAGAAAAACTAAATAAGACAGAAAGTTGCAATTCCTGCCTGAACCCCACCCTACAGTATCCCTCGGTTGTAAATATTTCAAATGTTTGCAGTAGAATGCAATAGTGATAAAACTGGAAGTGCTGCAGCTTTATGCCTGTGTGATTCTGCCAGCTGCATTCTTGATATTAAGTGTGCTAAGCTGTATTTAAGGACAAATAAGAGAGAAATACTTGCAGGCATACCTGTAGTCCTGGTCATATAATTTAGGAGGAGGAATTAGATAAATGTAAAATAGTATGATTGATTGACTGGCTATTTTGAAAAGTGAACTATATTTTCAATAAATTTTTTGGCTTTTAACTGATCTGATATCAAGCAACAGCAAGACATCTGTGAAGGTGTGCCGGAGAAATTAGGAGTGTTTAAGGCTGGATGCATGTATCAAGGTCTGGATTGGACATGTGAAGCTGAGTGCATACGGCTCAGGACATTTCATTAAATAAGGTATTCTTCTGTAGCTCATCAGTGAGCCTAGGAGTGAGTCTCAATCATAAATTTTTTTGTTGTTGTTGTATAGTTCGTTTTGGGTTTTTTTCCTTTGGTAATGAGAATTTTCAGTGTGATTCAGTGTTTCCTCCTAAAGAAGGAATCATTAAGGTGACTTAAGAGATACCTTTTGTTGCTTGTGTTCTAAAGCATTAGGAGAAAGTCCTGGAGCTGAGCAAACAACTGTACACAGTTCCTGCTGAAAGTAATGAACCAAGCATCTGTGCATATTTTAGACAGGCAGAGTGAAGAGCAGCTGTTTTATGATCTTTGTCTTTTAAGGTTTCTGGAGTCAAGTGTTTTACTGCAAAGTTGAAGTTTAATCAACAACTTGCACAACTGTACAATTTGTTCTTCTCATTCATTATGACAACTTGCTGGATGCTAATTAACCTGAAATATAGAGCAGTAAAATATTATATCTTTGGAGTACTGTTTTAATAGCTGCTTGTGAAACAAAGTTTACCTTTTCTCTGAAGAAAACTTGATAGATTTCAACAGAGAGCAGTAAATCTGCTGTTGGAATAGTGGAGACCTTCAGAATATATTCTGTGGAAGGCTTCTATTTAAAAAAAAATAACCTTGCTTTTGTTGATTTGTTTAAGAGGTCAGACATTAAACAAGAGCTTTTATAAGAAAGGCTTTCAGAGAGTGCTTGATAAACCAGCTGGATTGACTTTTAAATAATTAATTTCAGCTTTGGTTTGCATTTCTATTTTGAAAGCTTCATATTATTTTTCTGCTCTTGGTTGCTTGGTAACCACTGGAAAGCTCTGATTTTTTTTTTTTTTTCTTGAGGTGAATGCATACTTTACACCTGGTACATTAAACAGATGATTGCTTTAAGTAGTTACATAGCTTGCAAATGGCATTTCAGCATTTTAATTTTAGCTGATATTGCACTTCTGTAGATATAGCTCCTGATGTCGAAGGCTGTGATAATAATTGAAGAAATTATGGTTCTTCCAGATTTCTTTAGCCAGTGGCTTTTCCTTGTTTACTTGTTTCAAGTAAGAGAAAAAATAACCCAAAACTAAGACAGTGAGTATACCCTGGCTGAATGTACAGAAGGCTGTAAAAGAAAAAATAATTCCTAAATGTGAGTTCTTACCGTGAAAGCATTTCATTTATGTGAAGATAAACCCAAGAGGAGTCCTCGTGTGATACTATCCATTAAAGAAAAAAAAAAATAAAGGCACCTCCCTCTAAAAACAATAGGGTGAAAATTGAAAAATTCAAAGTGGAAGCCTGAAGAAGAATCTCCATGCCACTACTTGGATTGTTGTTCTTCTGTCTAAAATCTTGTAGAGTATATGAAAAGTCAGGGAAGATCTGGCATTTATTGAGATGTTTTGTTTTGTGCATATAAAATCAAAATAGAATAAGATAAGTATGGAACAAAAAAAAAAAGGCAGCAAAAATGGTTGAAAAGCAAACGTGGGCTTGTGGAAAATAAAGTATTCTTTATGACTCCTGCCAGACACTTTGTGTTCCCCCCTCCCCTGGCTATTCCTGAAGGCTGAACTGATCAGTACCAGATAGATGAAATGAAATGTACCATGATGCTGAAGTCTTTCAGGCTGACCACTGATGTGTGCAGGATGTGTGCTCTAAAAAATAGAGTCATCTGCAATTAGAATTCAGATTTGGAAAGGGGGATAGCTTTATTCAACTCATTATTTTAATTGTGATTTAAATCAGGAGAGAAAAATTTTAATCTGATAACTGGTTTTAATACTGTTTTACATTTTCATTTTAAAAAGTCTTTGTTAGTGATAGTTGATAGCTGTATTTGCATGCAACATCAGGACTTCTGGTAGTTGCAAGTATACATGCATGCTTTGGTAGTTATATAGCTTACTCAGATTTTGAAACTTTACCCTTTGCCATGCTGACAATAGTGAATATCCTTTTTCTGTACACTTGGTTTCCAGATGTTTTAACCTAAAATGCAGCAAATTGAGTTTTAATATCTAGTCATTGTTTAGAACTGTTAGATGAGCTTTTACATATATATATTTACACACACCTAAGTGTACACTTGTTTTCTTCAACACAAGTGTTAAATGGTATGCTAGATTTAAAATTCAACAATAGGCTAGTTTTTAAAATTAGCAAATCTAATGTTACTGTTTGGATTTTACTAGTAGATGAAACAGTTCTAAAAACTGAAAACAGATTAGTGATGATCCAACATAGCTCTATTTCTGAGTTCTTTTTCATTGATTAAAGAGGGAGGACAGGTCTTCCTAGCCTCTCCTCCCAGCAGGCTTCTCAGTGAGTGAAACACTTATTTAGCTGAGCTGAGGAAAATTCTCTTTGTGCATCTGCAGATGTCAAAAGCTGTTTTGTCATTGATGCTATGTTCTTTTTCCAG